CATGAGCTTTACAGATCGTAAAAATTGTAATCTAATTAACATCGTTTGGCAGTGTTCAACAGTGCTGTATTTTAGCACATCTAACTTAGGATGGTAAACAATCACAAGAAAATACTTTGTTATATCGGTGACAATACTGTTTGTGTGTGTGTGTGTGTGTGTGTACCTAAAAGGGGCACAGGTGTTATAAGTTAAAAAGATGGTTTTAACAGATATCAGATATCAATTGCAGTGTTTAGAGTTAAAGAAACCTTACTAAAGCATTGGGTCAAAAAAACTGTTTTTGTTTCTTGCGGTTCACTGATCTTTACCCGTGACGTCTGTAGTTGAAAAAAAAATCAAACGCTAAAAAAAAAAAACTTTTTGTAATGCCCAATTCATTGAACGTTAAACGACGATACTTTTTTCAGCATAAAAAAAACTTTTTTAAATGATTTTTACCTGCTTTAATTTTTTGACATTATTGAAAAGCTGCTTTTTTTTTTGGTGGTAAAGAACCGGGAAGAGAGAGGCAAATATGATTTTAAAAAAAAGAATTATTTCTTTTATTTGACTAATTTTATATGGCTCATTTAATTTCTACCAGCAATTGGGTACTCTTTATTTTATTTTATTTTATTTTATTTTATTTTATTTTATTTTTTTTGTTTTGGCTTTGCTTTCAGGCTCTCCAAATATTTTTATCTGTAAATCTGATTATTATTGAAACCGTTGTACGACTGCCTAAACATATTTTGATATCCTTAACTGTTCTGTTGAACTGTCGACACACCATTACCCGGTGGAAAGATATTCAGATGCTAAAATCAAGCCTGTCTCAGTAATATATCAACACTACTCCTGTACGACAACCGGTTACTTCCGTGCTGATACTTCTGATAATGTTGTTGCAAATCAAATTTATATGCCTATAAGAACCTGAAAAAAAAAAAGAGAGAACGAAAAGCAGAAAAAAAAAGAAAAAGAAAAACTGATTATTTTAGATGAGGAAATATTACAGATGTGCAAAAATTTAGTACTTTTTAAACAGTAACATGAAAACGAGGTGGTTCAAAAATTGTAACCTCAAAAAAATGGGAAAAAAGAGGGAAGACAATTGTTTTGAACATTTTTAAACCTATAAACCAAAAATTAAATACAAACAATATTTCAAAATCTCCTTAATTTATTTTTGTTTTGAAGAAAAACGTTTATATACAACGGTGTTTTTGCCAACTTCCAAATGTTATTGCGCTGTTATTTATCCGATTAAATGAGCAATTTTCGGTTGCCATTAATTTCCAAATTTGGTCATTTAAAAATGTAATTCTGCTTTTTTTTTTGTTTAGAATTTTATTGCTATGTTTTTGCTGGAAATAATAGTAACGAAGACAACTACGGCAACTAAAACAACAAAAAACTGTTGCTAGAGCTGTTGGTAGTACTGATGACGGCAATGGAGGAAACGTTATCGTTTTTTTCATTTTTAAAATGAGGAGAAAAACATAGGCTCAGAAGTTTTTTTCAATTATCATTCATTTATTGAACAAAAATTAAATATGATTTCATATATGACTCATTCAATTTCCTATTTTGACATCAAAGCGGAATTCTGTTTTTTCTTCTTTTCTCCTCTTTTTATAGTGCTTCAAAAGGCTTTTCTTCCCTTATAATTTTTTTCCATATCCGCTTTCAATTTTGACAAATGCGAAAACTCTTTATCAAATTCTTCTTTTAACACCAACTGTTGCATTTGATAATACTCTTCAGAAGAAGTGCAGTGTTCTGATAAAGTAATCAAAATCAAAGAAAACAGTTTTTAAGAAATTTGATAGCGAGAATGAAACAAGTAGAAAAAGATAAAGACAGCAAATAAAATTTACATTACC